TTCAGACAAGGCAGCAATTAACAGACACATAGAGATAAACAGCATCTACATACTATTCAAATCACCTCACCAGCAATCATCACCCAGATAAGCAAAGGTTACCACCAGGCATCCAATCAAGCAGCAAACAATACCCTAATCAAGGAACTACCAGAGGGACAAAACAAAACCTCCACCTCCACCAACACTGGCAGGGCATGCCACAGTATATAAATAGAGAGCAAACCCCATCCCATTTTAGCACTGAAGATGTTACCTAGCCGGGTAATGAAATGTTTGCAAGAAAAGCCGCCCAGAGTCCCCCGTTGTGGGGAGCTGGGCGGGGACAAATCAAATTATTAATAATAATAATAATAATAATAATAATAATAATAAAGAACCAAGCTCAGAGAACCCCAAGGACTCCACAAAATGACATTAAAATTTAATAAAACAGATTGTACCAGGGGCAACTTCAAACAACTAAAAATAATCAAAACCAGTCATAATTGACATAAAACCTCCTGATCCCATGCTTGTGGGAAAAAAATCAGATCTTCAGAGCCTTCCAAAAAGAAGGCTGCGTTGGAGCCATCCAAATCTCAGGAGAAATGCTGGTCCGTAGGACAACCATGGCAGCAAAAAAGACATGTCGCAGGGTCCCAACAGATTACACTGCTTGAGTGACAGGAACTAGAGCATGCTTACCCTGTCAGCTCATATCAGTTAGACAGAAATAATCAGAGACAGGAGGTTCCACATGTAATCAGGCTCCATGCCATGAAGGGCTTTATAAGTGATAACCAGTACCTTAAATTGCACTAGAAGCTTATTGACAAGCAGTACAGCTGATGAAGCAGCAGGATACCTGGGCACCCATAACTACTCACACTGTTGCATTCTGGACCAGTGGAACTTCCTAATGGTCTTTAAGGGCAGCCCCATATAAAGCATATTGCAATAATCCAGACAAGAGGCATGTCTTCTTTAGGTGATCCTTTCAGTCCCTTCTCACATTTGGGTATCTCACAAATTAAAATAATGTGAAATTAAAGGATGGGTGACCATAACAGTGCAACTTTTGTTTGTTTACATTTGATTTTTAATGGATTATTTATTTAACTATTTATGGGGGGATTTTTAATTGTTGATGGGGTTTCATTATTTATTTAACTATTTATGGGGGGATTTTTAATTGTTGATGGGGTTTCATTATTTATTTAACTATTTATGGGGGGATTTTTAATTGTTGATGGGGTTTCATTATTTATTTAACTATTTATGGGGGGATTTTTAATTGTTGATGGGGTTTCTGATTTTAATTGTGAGCCGCCCAGAGTCACCTGTTGGGGGGAGATGGGTGGCATACAAATGTAATAATAGATAATAAATAAATAGATAATAGATAATAGATAATAAATAAACAAACAAACAAACAAGCTAAAATTGAAACTGACTACCTGATGGTAAACCACCTCCCTTACTTCAGAGGGAAGTGGGGTTATGACTGAAAATGACAAATCCAGGGAATCTGGCAAATAAACACAAGCACTCTTCCTCTTCTTCCATAAATGAAAAGAGGAGGGCTGCTGTCTTCTCATCCACCTTGTTTGAAGCCAAAAAAGAGGGGGAGTTGATGGCTATGAAAAGAACAGAGGAAATAAAGTGCTAATGATGGTGGCAAATGTTGATAGAAAAATGGGTGAAGTAGAAACTGGCTAATGTCCAGAGGGAGCAGGCTTGCTTCTTCCTCTTGACACTCTGAAAGCACATTTTTGATCACACCCATGGTCACTTGACTGTGCCTCCATAGTAATGGGTGGTAAAACAGAATAGGTTTTATACACCTGGAGGCTCTTTTTGGCTGGTATTGCAATAAGTAGGGAAATGCGTCTTTTATTGATACAGTTAACTCACTCATGAGTTGGGGAGACATCAGGGCAAGTGGGGAAAGGACCTCTGGTTAAACATTCTTAGCCATGTAATTCACTGGTTGGCCTGACTCTGCCTAATCTAGCTCATTAGGCCAGTGCTTTTCAAAACTGGGGTACCACAATCCTCTAAAATGTTAATTAATTTCAATGATATCCCCATGAATAAAACTAATAATTACATTGGTATTACAGTTGAATAGGAAGTAAAAAACATTACTTTTAATAATTACATGTGGAAAAAATCTATGTGGTTGTTAGGAGTCAAAAACAACTTGGTGGCACATAATCACATGTTAATCTGTATATTACAGGAATTGTCAGACTTTGTGATAATTGTCCACTGTGGACTTTTGCACAGGTAAAACAAAGAGCAAATGATAGAATATTGTCAAAACTTGTTTCCACTTTGTCTGAGCAAGTTTGCAGCTCACTTGCGCCGGTAAAACAAGGAGTAAAGCCCAGTGTGAATTTTTACTGTGTTTCTACTTTGCCTATGAAGCCTGATTAGTTTTTTTTTTAAATGGTAAACCCCTTCCCCCACCTCTATATTGCACACAATCCTTCTGGAGAGGTCCCAACCTATTGTTTGAGAGCCTTTGCATTAGGCCATTAGGAGACAGTAACCCCGTCTGCAGCAGTCTTAGTGGATGATGGATAAGAATAAAAATGTTATTACAGTAATGTCTGCCTGGAGTCAGGCAGTGCTGATGTTGGAATAAATAAATCAGTAAATAATGTGTTGGAGGATATCATACTGAAGGTGTCTACCCTACCTTGAATTAACCTGTTGATAGCCAATGCAGACAATCAAGCCATCATCAACACTTCTATGTTGTTGCTTACAAGTGATTGAATTCTTTGGAATTTATCACAGAATAAAAATACATAGAAGCAGTCAGTTTCAAACACTTTGAAACACACTGTCATTTGGATATAGCTACAATAGCACTCACATTGGTGATTTAAAGTATCTAATGGCCCTCACATTCTGATCTGACAAAATCATCACTTAATCACATGCTACATCTCTCTTCATGGGCTGCATCCTAACATCAGACCCAGCCTGCCTGGAAAACCTACTCACCTTTCTTCTCCCTCTCTAGTGCAGTACTGTATTGTTATTATTATGACATGCATGGTACACAAATCTATTGCATATTTCACATCTGCCTATTTAAAAAAAAAGTTTATCTCTTCATCCAGCCTGCAAGGTATGAATGTTGGAAAAATAACTCTCCCCTCCCCTGCACATTTTCATGAATCTGCTTTTCTGAATGTTTTATATTGCTTGAGGCATTGTTTTATTATGTATTCTATGGGTGTTTTTTTTTTTTTTTTGCAGGGGGCCTCGGAATCCATTTAAAAATGACTTTTTAAATGTAATTGTGCTTCTTTCATCTTCAGTTTTTTATAAATCATTCAACCAATAACGGGCATGGGGGTGACCTGGAGATGTGTTTATATGAACCACCGTGGGAAGTGTCCTCCAGTAGTTTCTTGGCTACAAGCTTCTTAATACGTAAACAGATAACCGTGTTTTCCTTTTAGAAAAACATCAGGCACTGAAGCCAGTCTTTACTATTGCCTATCATCCTTCGCACTTTCCGTATTGATGCACCTGAAGGGCAAATTAAACCTAGGGAAGAACTCTGGGACGACGGGAGAGCTACGCCGCGGACGTCCAGAGGCCTCGCGCAGCGGGGCGAGCCAGAAGCAGTTGCTCAGACGAGAGTAGGAGCTCCCGACCCGGCGCGAGGCATTTCCCTTGTTTTGGAAGCTTCCCAGGTGGAAAGAGAAAGAATTTAAACTCTGAAGGAGGAGGAGGGGAAGGCGGCTCCTCCTTTGTGGCTAAGGGAGCCGTCTGACTTTCTCGGCCCGAGGTAGCCCGGCAGAAGGGAGCCACCGCCGCTTCCTCTCTCAGTCCGGTGTTCCCGTCCTCTCCCCTCCCCCACAATGCAGTGCGCGCCGCGGCTGACATGGCGGCCAGCCCAGATTGAGGCGCTCGCGTCGGGGCCTCCAACTGCCGGAGCAAGACATGGAGGGGGACGCGACCGGGACATCCCTGGGGTGACAGCCAGGTACTTGCGCCCCAAGGGGAGAAGGGGGCCACAGACGATCATCCCCATCCCGCTTTTGCCCAACCCCTGCATGCATTGGCCCCTGCTGGCTCTTTCCTCCTTGGGGTTGAAGTATTTTTCGAGGGGGGTCGTGGGTCTTTTTACGCCAACGCTTCTTCGCCCCCAACTCCTTTAAAGTCGTCTTGGAGGGTCTCTGTTTAGTGGACAGATCCAGTGCCGGGTCCCCTGTTTCCTCAGAGGTCCTCCCAACTAGGGTCTTGGGACCCCACTTTCCTCTCTCTGTTTTGTTTCTGGGGGCGGGGAAGGGAAGGTTTCGAATCAAAGGCCTGAGGGAAGCCGTGTATGCACGCCTAGCAGAGAGTTGTTTGGGGAGTTCGGGGGTTGCTGATTGGAAGAATGCAGAATATTGAAAATCGCCGCTTTTGACCTGCACATGTACTTTGGGGGTTCGTGGAGGATATTTATTCCACGGAAGTCTCCCTATGGATGCGGAGTGGATTTTGTCTAGTGTGGCTCCTATGAAGAGTCGCGATGTCGCGACAGAAGACGAATCTGAGAATGCTACTTGAAGGTTTTGCTAGGAGAAGAGCTCCTGGGACACATTCGAGGGCTTTTTTCTTTAAAATCTTGGGTCTTGCGTGTTGATTTTAGAATTTCAGATCTCTGCAAGTCCCTTAGTAGAGCAGAATAGAGACTAGGGGGTTTATAAAGACTTCTGTGAACAAAAATCAGTTCCCTTCCTTAAGAAGCCTACTGTGTAAAATAAGAGAAGCAATTGTAATTATATTTAAAATTGTGGATGGTTAAGGTTTCTGGCTTTCTGCCATAGTCTTACTTTGTTTTCTCTTTGAATATGCTCATAATAAAAAGTTTTCCTGTCTTCAACCAGTTAAAAGGCTAATTATCTGCATTTTGCAAACAGGAAAACTGAGGCATCCCACTTCACCAAATGTTACAAATTTACCTCATGCCTGCTTTGTACACCACAAAAACACTAGGTAAGGAGTCATGACTCTGTATATATAGTACAGTTTGTGCATGCACTTGTTTTCACTGCATCAGGTGAAATGGCTATGGCCAATTTCACAGTCAAGCCAAAATTGGGAAAAAAACACATCAAAAACCTGTTGTTATATGGGCATGCTTTTCTTTGTGCTCCTGCTTAATGTTAATCCACTGTAATATTCTTTTAACCATATGAAGATGGGCAAAGCATTTTTAAAATTGCAGGGAGTTTGTGTCAACATTTTCTGTGTCAGTGTTTTCAGGAGTTAGTATTTTTTCTTATGTGATAGCCCAACATGGAACTAGGAAAAAATATCTCCCTTGGCTGAAAGGCTATCTGAAAAGGATTAAAGACCTGGCTCTGCCAGTGTGCATGGGTCAACATAAGCTCTAACTGTCCCTGGGGATAGTTAGTGTCCTGAAGACGCTCCCTGAGTTATTTGCCAACTTTCCATCTTCTTGGAAGCTCTTTATTATTAGGATTGTTTTTATATTGTATTTTAATGAATTTTATCTATGCTATAGACCGCCCAGAGGTTTCAATGAGATGGGCGATAACAAATTTGATATATAAATAAATATAAATTTTCTGGCAGTATTCTTCCACTGTATACGATTTTATAGGAGTGTGCATGAATACTTCAGTGACACAGAAAGAATTGGTAATAGTTTAAGAGTCAGTCATCTGCTAAAATAAGAATATTACTGTAATAGAAGAGAGCTTTTAGAAATTTATAACTGCATTTTTGACAGCAAGTAAGTTGGGGTCTTGCAACAAGTGTAGATGTTTTATTAAAATGTTTAGGACAGCAAAATACACAAATAGGAACAAAATTTACAAATGATAATATTGTTCTCTTTATGTGATATTATTTGACTATATTATGGCATGCACTAAGTGGTACAAACTGTATAACATATCAAGAACCCTAAATACGGACAACTCTGATTATAAGAATTTATGAAATCTTTTGGATCAGGCCAAATCTTTTGGGTCAGGCCACAGGTCCATTGAGTACAGCATTGTGTGTCATACAGTAGTCAACCAAATGTACTCAAGAAATTTGTAACCATGTACAGAAAAGTAATAGCCTTCTAACTCAGTTTTTTCCAGCTGCTAGTATTAAAAATATATTGCCTCTGAGTCAGATATCAAGTCTAGTTATTGATGCCCTATATTTCCTATATTTTAAATTAGTAGACATATCCATATCTGATAGTAGCAAATTTTGTAATTTTATTATTCCTTGTATGAAAAAGCGTTTCTTCTAAACACCATTGAAGTTATTTCCCAGTTTCTGGGTGTTAATATTTATTTGCAATAAGTTCATGGCATTTTTATATTTCCAAAGACTGAAGAAATTTAAGAAGCAAAATCAGGTTAACTATACAACAGTGTTAATATTATGTATGATTGTCAACTTACAGCAAGAATACCAATTTTGAGTTGCTTTTTTCCTACAAATGCCACTTTTCCAAAGAAAATAGTGAAGGCCCTTCAACCGCTTTACTATGTGTTGTTTTTTTTTAAGTGAGTAGGTGTGATATGATAATCTTCTCCCAATTTCCTGGTATAGGTTTTTCTGAGGCTATTTGCATAATATGTTTATACCACTGCCCCTAACATGGTGTTTCATTTTCAGGAAACAGTTGCTCCCATGTTTGAATATATGTTAAGGTCTACCTCATTATTACTTTACTTTATTAATTTACTAATTGATTAGATAGTATCTCTGAGTATTATTGGATTAGTATAACTGCCTTTTACAATATATCTTTGGATTTAAAATAAAACAGTGTTTTTTCATGATGTTGTATATAGTGATGGGAATACTATCATGCTTTTAATTTTATTATTGATTTCCAGAAAAAAGTTACATAAATATATTCTTAAAACAACAGTGGAAGGTCAGTTTTTATTTAGTGGAATGTATTTTTGTTAATTGGCAGAAAGAATTAGAGTCTAATGCTAACACTGACTTTTAAATGGGAGATTGAGTTCAAATGTAAGTAGATTTGATAATATTCAGCCTGATTTTGCACCATATTAAGAAAAGAGTAGAAGGTATTAGTATAAATCCAACAATATAAAACAAGAGCGTTTGCTATTAACATCTTTAATTAGGAAGCTGTATAAAAGTATTTCAGATAAATATAATCTGTACAAAAACATATGGTCAAAAGATAACAAAACCTAAATATAATCCAGCAAATCAGTGCATTTAAATATGGAGCTACCTGAATCTGGGAAAGAAGAGCAGTACATAAAAAGTAAAATAAATATTAATATACGAAAGAACGGTAAATCTGATTTTTAAAAGCAAAAAGCACATATAGGTGAAGAGTGCATCAGCCTCATTCATAACTTACCTCTCTGTGATAGGCCACCTCTGCAAGTACTTCTATCCCAGCTGAGGACAGAATTAGTGGTATCAAGGTTTTGGCGGGGGGAAGGGCCCTGAATTCATTTTCTGTATCTCCGTTTCTAAATACAGTCTTCCCCAATTCTTTCTTTATGATTAAATGTGTAGTATGGCTGTTTTCATTTCTAGTTTGGCCTCACCTCTTAGTTATATTTCCATTTTTGCATTTCTTCTGTGAAATCTAAGCCATTTTGCACCTTGTTTTGAACAATTAATTTATCAATTGGACAATCATTTACAGCTTATTTCAGTAGCAAGATCTTGGATTTTTTTGTAATTTTGCTAGTATTTAGGTAATAAAATTACTGCTACTAATTTGTATAAAGGTGTTATGACTCTTAAGAATATTCTTAAGCTTAAAACTGAAGGGAATAAACATGAATATTTCTGTAAAAACTAAAACTATTTATATGGTTACTGTTTACTTATTTTTACTAGTTTATGTTTATCCAGTAATATGGGTTTTCTGCAAAATTTTGAATTGGAAAAATGTTCCTCTGACTTAAGGGGCTTCTGCCTTAGCAGTTTTCATTTTACCCGATTTAATAAAACTATAAAAAGTTACGTTAATTTTATGTGCTATGTAAATGCCAGAAATTTTTCTAAACCAAAGGAGCTGAAGTGAAATAATTGATAGAAATAAGTTAATAAACCATACTTAATATATTTGTATATGCTGTATAACGCTTGAAAATTATTTGTAAAGCCTTTATTTCAGATTTTACAAATCAGTAGCATGCACTTTTCTTATTTAATTCAGGTCTTAACAAAAAATGAAGATACTGCCAATTGTTTATATATTAATTTAACTTTCTTGAAAAGTTGTGAACATAAATCCATGCTTCTTAAAGATAGTCACCTAAAAAAGTAACATTTAATTTTTTTCCTAGTTTTACAATATTATGATTGTGCAATTTGATTATAATAGTGTTCATTTATTATTATAGTTACTTTGGAAAAAATGGGACTTTTCTAAAATTAACAGATCTTTAGAATATAGCAATAGAAAACCTCATGTAGGTAGTCCTCACTTGATGACTACAAGAGAGACCAGAAAATTGGTCATTTAGTGGGGCAGTTGTTAAGCTAGTCACCACATGATTGGACCCAATTTTATGGCCATTTTTACAATGGTCATTAAACAAATCACGTTCATTAAGCAAATCACATGGTTGTTAAGTGAATCACATGGTGGTTAAATGAATCCAGCTTCCCCAATGGATGCTTGTTGCCAGAATTCACTTCACAACGTGATTCTCTTAATGACCATCATAAAAGGTTGCAAATTGTGATCATGTGATCGCAGGTGGGTGCGATGGTTTGCAACAGTCATAAGTGCAAGTACAGATCGTAAAACACTTTTTCCAAGGCTGTTGTAACTTCGAACTTTCAAACAGTCATTAAGCGAGGACTACCTGTAGTACATTTCACCGTCCTCATTTTGTCTTTTAGTGCCCAAGGGACATTATCCTATGTTTGAAGTTAGTAGAGTATCTAATTGTGAACTAAATTATTTTCTTTTTGAATTTGAGTTCATTTAAGCAATTTAGAAGTGGATCACAATTTATTTTTAAAAAACGTTATCATGCTTGTGCAGGCAAAGTGGGAGAGCTGTCAAAAGTTGCTCTGTGCTTTGTGTTTTGTCTATGCAAACTGGTTGTAGACCTGCCCAGGCAAGGCAGGAACACGTTTTGACAGTGTTCCTGCTTTATTTTTGTTTTTTTTAAATAACTCTATTAAATTTTTAAAAAAGAACAATAAAAACTAACAAAAACTAATATTAAGAAAGAGAATAAGAAAAAAAGGAATTGGAAAAAAAGAAAATAATAAAGATCTAAGGTGCAGAAAAGAAAAAGAGAAAAACAAAAAAACAAATTGACTTCTGACCCTTCCCACAACAGATATAAGTAACAACATACATCAAACTCTTGTCCTAGATTTACACATAACTTTCATTATTTCTATTAACCCATATTATTTCTAATCAAACCCATACAACATAATTTCATTTTTTTCTATATCCTGCAAAAAGTTCAAAAGAGATTTCCAGTTAACATTAAAATTACACAATGTCTTATCTTGAATTGAAGCCATCAATTTCGCCATCTCAGCTAACCCCATTGATTTCACCTGCCATTCTTCCATTGTAGATAGTCTTATTTTTCCACCTCTGTGTCTTTAAAAACCTTGGTGCTGTTATCATATATAAAAATAAAGCTATAGATAATATCATATGCTTCCTCCTTTATACCTATAAAAACCTTACCTGTTATCATATATAATAACAAAAAATCCATAAATTTAATAACAAATATATTGGAGTCTTAGTAAACTTTATACACAGATCCTTAAAGCATCATCATTTAATCCTGGTCACAAAAAAAATCCCATTAGTAGCTGCCAAAAGGCTCAGCATATATGTTAACCATAGTCCAATAAATTTCTTTTGTAAACCTTCTGTTTGCTTTTGAAAAGGTTAAACTTAAATAAATTTCAAATAATGTCCCACAAGTTGATTCCCCATTGTCTCCTTGTCTTCTCCCAAAAAAATCCCCAGTAATTTCTCTTTGTCTTTTCCCAGGAACAGCCTCACCAATTCAACGCATTCCTTTTGCAAATCCAAGATAAAAAAAAATCTTTCCAAGTCACTCTTCTCCATTATTTGTATGTCCCCTTTAAACATTGTAACATCAGTTGATTCCATTTGTACTTCCATTCTGGCATCTTTTCCCATATCACTCTTATCTTTTGGCCATCTTAAATCCATGTTCAAATCCACAACTTCTTTATTCGTACCACCTTCATAGTTCAATATTTTTCTGAACTCCAATTCCATATTCAAATAAATCTCCACATCTTTTTCAAAGTTAACCATCTTATCCACTCTTTCCTCTTTTTTTCAAGTGATTTGAATTTAGCTCCTAGTTCATCAAACATTGACTGGAGTAAACTTAAAGGAGTTATTTTATCTTCCAGCGACTGCTCCAAAAGACCTCTTCTAGCCATTTTTTTTACCCAAAGCAAACCTTGTCTTTTTATTTTTATTTCTTTCCATTTACACAAGTAAAACGTATAGCTGGATAGAATTAATTACAAGCAAAAGTAAACTGACAGTTCGCTCCCTCTAGTGTCTTTCAAGCTGGAATTGCAGGCACACATCAAAGAAAAACCTACAGGGATCAAGTTGCAGTCGTCTTCTGTTTTAGAAACCCAGCCAATCAACAGACATAATCCACAAAACAAAAAAGACTTTCGCATGAAAAAAGCAAACCTCATCACTGTGAATGGAGTTGCAAAAAAATAAACTTCTAACAAATAAATCTTCCCTTTTCACTGTAAATAACTTTTAAATCTCTTTTAAATTCCACTTGTCATCCAGTTTTTTGCAAATTAATCAGATTCAAATTAAAACTCTAATTCTTCTTTTAAAAGTATAGTCCCAAAAATAAGGATAAGCCCTAAGAGAATTACTTATCTGTTGCAAAGGAAGGTCTCTCTTAAGTTGCAATAAAATTATGTTCCACTGTGTTTAGAAATGGGGTTTGGTTGGCTCTAGTGTTCATAAAAAAGGCTGCGCCACAACTTCGAACAAAGATGGATCCCCTGCCTCCTGGCTGCTCAGTTCAGAAGCTGTTCTCTGAAGCTTCCGTCTCCACGATTAGCTTTCAAGGAATGGCTGTATAGAGATGTCTGGGTCGATTTCCTCGCTTCCTCCTTGATCCGGAGCAAGTTGGGTGGTCAGCGCTTGCTGCCAGCCACCAGTTCAGCTGCGGGGCCATCTCCCTCTCATGGAGAGATTATTAAGCTGTCATTGTCCCCACTGGAAGTCCCGACAATGTTCCTGCATTGTCTGCACATGAGTACTCTTAAAACTTGCTCTGGGCTTTGGTCCTCATTTCGCTTGTGCATGCCATAGTGTACAGTTGTGGTACTGCAAAATTTGAGAACCCCTGTGACATATAGATTGGAATTTAATTATTTAAAATTAGCAGTATATTCATCTCTTGCACAACCTAATACTTTTCATGGTGCCACAGAGTGTGAGAACCACTAACATAGGTGAACCAAATAAAATTGCAACAGTAATTCTGGTATTGTGTGCTATAAAAAGCTTAGAAGTGTGCATTAGACTCCTGTGTTTCCTTCCACCTTCCCCAGCATTATAGACTTCTCCAGAGAGTTAGGTCTTTGCATATGTCCAAAGTATGATCATTTAAGCCTGGCCATTTGTGCTTTGAGTGAGAACTCTGGATTGATTTGTTCAATTACCATTTATTTTCTTGGCTATTCATGATATTCTCAGAAGTCTTCTCCAGCACCAAGCTTGGAAAGTATCAAAACTCTTTCTATGCTGCTGCTTCAAAAGCCAACTTTCATTTCATAGAGTGTTACAGGAAAAGCCATTATCTGCACCATTCTGATCTTTGTAGGTATATACATATTTTGGTATATAAATATCTTTTTCAAGACCTTCATTGCTACTTTAACAAGTGCTAGTCTAACAAGAGTCTTGACTGCTGGTTCCTTTACTGTTGATAGTTGTTTCTAAAAAGCAGAAGCTATTCACCAGTTCAATATCTTCATTGTCAGTTCTAATATTACAGATATAAAGAATCATCATATCTGCCTGCCATATCAACACCTTATCACTGAGCTTCTGTTAATTGATTTTCTTCATGTACTTAGATCTAATTGCCTTAACACTCCTCTGTTCTAATTAAATATAAATTAATCATTTTTAATGTTATCGCTCTTGAAACTAAACACAATTCTATGCTATTTTCCCAATTATAATTGCCCAGAGCTGAAATGTATCTGGTACATAATTAATAACCGGATACATTTTGGATACAATTATGTACAATATCCGGTACATAATTTAACCAGCATAAAGAATTAAATTTAAATCAGAAAAATATCATTGAGAGCAGTTTTACTAGCTGTTTAAAACCATATGCTGTAGCTGTACAGTGCTTCAGTTTTGAAGACAAAAAGATGCTTAGGGCTGTGTGGGGTATGAACATAGCACCTAACTTTGATTCTTTAAGAAGTGGTGACTTTTCTCAGGATTGTGCAGTTGGCAACTTGACAAGTATTTGTCTGAAAGGAAATTTCCCCCCGAATGTTTGTCTTTAAAATTGGAGGATTGTAATGAGACAGATGGTTTTTAAAAATTATAATCTTACTTTGAGGGGATTGGGAGAGAATCATTTTTCTTCTAAGTAATGATAATTCTTTATAAGAAATTTATTGCTTCTGTTTCTGTAGTGTGTTTTTTCCAATGTTTCATTTACTGACACATTACCTAATTGAAAATGTTTGTAGAAGATAATGCAATATGAAACCTAAAAACTGACAAAAAACAAAAGATAAACTTGTTTTTAGTTGTTTAACTCTAAAACAATTTACTATTGCAACATAAAATAGTTTAAATTTCAAGAAAAAAAACTATATTTGGCTAGAATCCTTTTCCTCCTTCTAAAATTTTAAATAGTTGTATTTATGTTTTTCAGTAGAATAAATTAAAAACACCATTACACACTATTATCTGGTCTAGTAATATATTATTTCTGCTCACATGAAGAGAACTTCAACCTGTTTTCTTAACTGAGGACTGTGCGTTCTCACATACATACATACATACATACATATAAACTATGATGGGATGCAGTTACATGCCACATTGATAAGACTAATTACGTTCTTATTTTCTCAATTAACAATCCAGCGGCTAGTTCCTTCTGTAGTATAGTATATAAATCTGATTTTTTTTTGTAGTGATAGAAAACTAATTTTGGCTGAAAGAAGTATAGAATTATAGACCTGCACAAAAAGCAGCCTCATCTTTTTCCAGGCTTGCATGGTTGCTTTAGGAGCTCTTCCCATATGTTTCATGTGTCTCTACCTAGTTCAGGACACAGATTGAGGAATATTGCTTTATGTTTTGTGGTAATATTTTTACATGTTTAACTGTTTTTTCCTCCAGACAATCATCCAGTTACCCTGCTTGAACAGAGGATTTTGCTCCATTCAGATTGTTGCAAAATTACATTTCAAATAGTCTCAAGTGATAGACAAAGCAGGTCTTCTCAATAATGGAAGAAGGCAAGATTCCAAAAAGTGGAAATCATGACATAAGAAAATCCACCCGTACTGTGTGTGAAGAAAGCAAGGCTGTCAAAGCTGTAACCAATCAAAATTATAAAACCAACAGAAATGACAAATCTATAAAAGAAGCTGGAAAAAGTTCTTCAAGTGGTAGCAGTTTCAGAAAGAATAAGCAAAATGATGTTTGTCCTGAAAAGTCAGGAGAAAATAAATCACGTAAGACAAATAGTTGTATTCCTGGATGTAAAGACATGGGATCAGGTCTTCAGGATCAAAATCATAGCAAAGGAAAAAGATTACCAAATGTATCAACAGTAGTAGAAAATCTGAAAGAGTTAAAAGTTCAGCATGTGCATGAAAACCTTCGAACTTCTCATATTTTAGAGAATGGTGCCAGCACAGAAACCCTACCAACTGCCCAAAGAGGGACTCCTGAATCGGAAAATCCACTAAGAGAGGATACCTCCAAAATTAATATTAATTGGTGTAATGACTCACACAAAAGTGATTTGGATCTAAGACCAGTAGAACAAAACTCTGAAGATTACTGTGAGTGTGCATTCAGGTGTTTTTTTTTAATCCTGTCAGAAATTAAACTTTTTCCTTGTGTTATTTGTATATACAATGTTAAGTGGAACAGTATTTCTTCTTTTTAATGTAAATTAAATTAATTTACTAATTTAATGTAAATTAGGAAACTGAAAAAATATTGCTTTTCTGTGGATCTGTATAGAATTAAATTGTAATTCTGATTGAAAATACTCTCTTGCATTTTGCTACATTTTTCCTTTTGAAATGTGCTGTGATAATTTCTTAATTTAAACAGCTACTTCTAATTTTGCAGTTTTTAGCTTAAGTGTTTTTCTCCATACTATGTTGCTTTTCTACTTGAAGGGAGTTTTAAAAAAAGCTATAGAGCCATAATTTAAATGTAGTATCCTCTATACACTAAGTAAAGAATGACCATTCTAAAATGGGATCCAATATTGTATGAGTGAAAGTCCACTCATTTGACAAAACCTTCTTTCGTCTTCATGCAGGTCCCATTATCTTTACTGGAGGTCTCCCAACTCCTTGAAGGAGATTTTGAGGATAAATGGAAATAGCAGGGGGGAAATTGCTTCATTGGTGTTGACAGAAACAGTTTCATCAGCAAAAAAAAATTAATTAAATTTCAGTTGTTATCTTCACATTCTCCTTGCCTAGATTAAGTATCACGTCAATAAAGATAACAATAGCTACCTCTGTGCACCATAGCAGCCATGGATTTGGTATATACAGGCAGTCCTTGTTTAGTGACTACAATTGGGACCAGCAACTCAGTCATTAAGTGAAGTGGTTGCTAAGTGAAACCACAACTGTGCTTATGATCTTACTTCAGCTTTCCTTTGCTTTACAGACCTACAAAGGCCGTAAATGTGAGGACTAGTCATAGAATTACTTTTTTATACTATCATAACTGTGAACAGTTGCTCTAAACAAGGCAGTTGCTAAATGAGGACTACCTGTATATATTTTGAAAAGCAAAATCTAGGCTGAAGATAATGTGCTCAAACAACTGCTGACTAAGTAGCCAAGGACAGATCTCTTTATCTTAAATTTTTTATCTGTAAAATAAAAAGTAATTTTATGAGTTAATTGTGAGTATAACTGCAAAAGGAGTTTGTACCTTGTTTGCACTATCATGCATGTTAAAATTACTACCAGAATTGGATCTATATGAGTGATAGTCATGTAATATGATGCTTTTCCTAATTTCTCAAGACATTCATAAAGAGTATCTCGGTAATCTTTACCATTGTCTTATATTTGATCCTTGTGAATAATACTGAGAATCATCCAATAAAACTTTGAATCTAAATTTTAAATTTTAATTATGAGCATTTCCAAACTTAGTTTCCATAATTTTCAAAGAAAGAGTATATGTATACTCCACAGTCCCTTAATTTAAATTTATGGTAGTCTGTGAAAAATGTGTTAACATTTTCTTCATCCTTCTCCTACAAGGTAAAATAAAGAATTCTGACTCTGCTAAAGAAAGTAAGTCAGAAGCTGATTATTTAGAAAATGTTGCTGTAATGGATGAATCTACACTGATGGCAGAAGAGCAGTTAGGCTTGAAACAAGCTGAAGAGCGACTGGAAAGAGATTATATTATCCGGTTGGAAAAAGTAAGAACACAATTGTATTCATGTCTACTATAGACTATTTAAGCTAGACAGCATATCTAGTTTAAAAGAAGAATGTAAAGGCTTTGTCTTTAAATATTATAGTGTGAAGTAATTTCCCTAGATTAGAACATTCTTCTAAATTCTATTCTGGATTTTTTTTTTTAGTGTGGTAGGAAGTGTACTTCTGAATTGCCTTTCATATTATTATAATAGATGAAAACATAATTTTTCAGTTAACTGGAAGGAATTATATACATTTCTGGGTTCATGGTAAACACTGAAGAAGCCTATTCATAGTTGGTGGTAAGGCATTAACATATGTGCATAATGCCACTTTTCGTATACTTTCACTTTGGGACATGTCAGGAAACACGTGCTTTGATAGGAGTATAGTATTTGGGCTGATTTTGTGCATGTCAGGCTTGAATATATTGGAAATCAACATGCACAGATTTTTCTAGCGTTTTTTCATGACTACTATCATGTGCTCCAGGAACAAATAAATCCTGATTAGCAACGTTTACTGCAGAAAAATGGTTTTTTCATAATCTCTTTGTTATAGATAAGTTTGACCTTGCTGTTTTGAAGTACATAAGCATAAACTGTCTATTGTTTGTATATTGAAACAATTACTCTACAATGGGACGTATTACAGGTAGTCCTCGACCTATGATTATTCATTCAGCAACCATTCAGAGTTATGAAGGCGCTGAACCAATAGTGGTTACAACTGGTCCTTGGACTTCTGGCTGTCCCAGCACCCTCTCCCCGCTGTCATGTGATTGCAATCTGGGCACTTGGAACTGGTTCGCACTATGACCGGTTGCAGTGCCTCGCAATCACTCGATCGCCATTAGCAACCTTCCCTGCTGGCTTCCCCAGAAAGTCAGTGGGGAAGCTGACAGGGAAGGTCATAGGTTACTGCAGTAAGTGTCCCCCACCCACGCACCCTTTCCCAGACCCTCTGCGCTCACATTGCGCTGGTCACTTGTGTACCTCTCTCGCACACCCAACCCGCACCGCGCCTCTTGCACGTACCCTCTCACTCCCTCAGACACCCAGTAGCAGCCACTTGCCTGCCTGCTGGCCTGGGACTTCCAACTTCCTGCTGGCTTCCCCACTGACTTTGGTTGTGGGAAGCCGGCAGGAAGTTGCTTTGCCTAACAACCATGGGATTCAGTCAATGATGGCAACTGGGACTGCAGGGATTCCCGTCGCTAAGCAAAGTGGTTGCGCTTTATGACCACATCACTTAGCAATAGAAATTTCAGTCCCAATTGCCATCATAAGTTGAGGACTACCCATATTGTACAATGGAATTAGGCAATTCCTTGTTGGAAAAATCATTAAGTAGGGAATTGAAAGTAAAACTTCTGGTTTTCATACATTGATTGTATGACCATACTTGGAATATACATACAATTCTGATCACCAATCCTTTCAAAAGCATTGTAAATATAGAAAAGGAGCAATAAAGGGCAGTCAGCATTAAGGGCAAGTCAGTTTTCAAGAAGAAAATTTTCAACTTTGGTGCTTTTCTGCTATGGAGAAAAGGTGTGTAGGAGGAAGCCCCTTTGAGAATTGTAGAAGCCAGGATAACTAATGTATCTGAAATTTGGGAGGGTCTAAAGAGAAGAAAAAAAATAGTTTTTCATATATTAACGTAATTAAACTTTGGAAAAGTTTTTCTAGATACCTGTTATTCTTTTGTCTGTATTTTTAAATTGTTTTAATACTGTATGCCAGAATTGATCAGCCTTATACATTTAATAAATGAAATGAATGAAAATGATACCACAAGAGAAGTGAGGGATATAAACTTGGATGACTTTAAAGAAGAGTTAGAAAAAAACATGGATAAGTTTATCAATAGCAAGTATATAGGTTAGTATATATTGCCGTCAACACCAGGGGCAGTATACTTCTCAATCTTAGTTGATAGAAATCATAAGTACTCATACCATTCTTAGGGGGTTTTTTTGACAGAATGCTTGACTAAATAAATGTTTGATTTGATCAAGCACAGTTCTTAATTTTGGGGTCACTATTCGGTTTAGGTCTTCTTGATCCTAAAGTCTTCTGTTTATTTTTCCATAAACATCTCTGGAATATTTACAGACATTGATAGTAGTAAATACAGGCTCTTGATATTTTATATTTTCTCAGTATTTAGGTAGCTTTACTGAAAATTGAAAGATGTATGTCTGAAATATTTTAAAATGTAATTATGTAAATAGATATCCCTGTATGGTAAGTTGGGACAATCTCTGTGCACTGTGCTCTTTTATGGTAGATGTACTTAGTAGCATTTTATTATGATGATGGGAAAAAACAGGCATAATTAAGTAGCTGCTGAATCTGAAATATGTGGTTTTTCCACAGCGTTCTCCAGAGTACTCTAATTGCCAGTACCTATGTAAGCTGTGTTTAGTTCACATTGAAAATATCCAGGGAGCTCATAAACATATTAAAGAAAAACGCCATAAAAAGAATATCATGGTAAGTGCTAGAATAAGTTTTGAAATTTTGCTGAGAAGTTCACTCTTGATTTTAAATGCATGATACAATTTTTAAACATTGGTTGGTAGCTAGCAAGAGGAATAGGTACAGAGCTGTACTCATAAGAATATTCTTGATGGTAAAAAAAAGGTCCTCCAACTGGTATTGATCTACCTGGCATGTAACAAAAATGGCAGAGAAAGGCAAGTGGGCCAGTATGGGCCCTGCTTTTCTGTCTTGGTATTTTGTACTCCACAAGCCAGAAGATGGGGGTGCGGATGTGATCCCTAAGAACAATATCTCACTTACCAGGATATTTGTGAAAGAACTGGTTCATAGATTTGTGAACAGGGATAGATTAGGGATTTGGTTATTATACCTAACCTACTGCCTAATGGAATCCCTGCTTAAGCTGTGCTGGTCTCAGAGTTGATGTTGGAGATTCCTGTGCTTATGGTGCTGGAGGATTTCAGTGTCTGCTTAGGGCTGGTTTGTCTAGAGTGGCTCAGGATTTGATAGCAGCCATGATAACCATGGGCCTATTCCAGTTGGTCACAGGGCACAAACTCAATTTGGCATTTTATTCTGATTAGAAATGTGTTCTATGGGTGAAAATACCTCAGGTTTCCCCAACCTTAACAATGCAGTTAAGATTGGATATGTAGCTATACCCCACTTAGGGTAGTGGACCGCCCAAAACGTTTTTTGGGTCCAGTTAGATCTAGTTGGATTCCAAAAGGTCTTGGAGCTTCTTTTACCAGTAGTTCTATCAATGCCCTGATTGGTTCTTGTGATCGGAAGGTTGTTAGAATGGTTAACACAGTTTCCCATAAGTCACAAGATTTGACCTTGTAATACATCCAGATGAACTGTGGGAGTTGAAACAGTAAGGTAGATGAATAGAGCACACATGGAGGAGGACTTGACTCAAATCTCATAAGACATAGCATAAAGCCCATTTGAAAGTTTATTCTGAGGTAATATGTGCACAAAAGAAACATTTTTTTCTGCACATACTGCATCAGGAAGCTTACAGCCTGTGAGTTGTTTTGGATTGTGAAGTGACTGACAACTTTGTCTCCTCTCCTAGTTTTATTAAAGAACTCTCAAAGGCTTGTTGCAACACTTTCAGTGATTTTTATTTATTTATTTATTTTTGCATAAAATCTCTCATGTACAGAATTGTCAGGGGACAACTTTATGAGGTTATCTATTAACTTATTTTGTATAATTAGAGTGGATCATTTTCATGATACCTGAGGAAGTAGATAGGCTGCTTGGGACAATATATTTCATCACATATCCTCTAGATCAGGGGTTCTCAAAGTACGGCCTATGGGCCGGATACGGCCCGCCAGGGTCATTTATCCGGCCTGCCTGCCTGATTGGCCGCTGCTGCTGTCTGTCAGAAGCAGAAGTGTCGGGGCTGTGTCGGGAGCTACAGGCGATGCACGAGGAGGGAGATCGCAGAGCCGGACTATTCTACATGATAGGTATGCCGGGTGCAGCGGCCCCCCTCCTCCCCCCACACAATA